AAGAAATCACCTGTACTTCTGGCTCCACAGCAGTTTCTGCAGACATGTACATCAGGGAGAGTATGGATGGTATTGGGCAGAACAGACTCAGCCCCACAAAGAGCACTGAGGGGATTGCACAGAGCAGGTTTGCTTGCTCTTCGTTCTTTGCATCTTTAAGCAAACAAACACCATGTAACAAACACCATGACTTGGAATGAAAAACAGGCAAGCACATATCATTACTGTTATCAAACACCAAATCTCTGTAATAATTTCAATAGTGGGGACAGCAGATGAGGATACAACTTTAAATCAGGCTGCCAGTGGCAACATTTCTGGGCTGTGCAAAATAGCTGTAGCAGGACATGAAGATAAATTCAGTAATGACACTGGTCTCTGTGCCTTTCTATTGACATTTTGTTTTTAAAAAAGCAAGTGGGCAAACAACTGGCTGCTATAATGGGAGACACTTAACAGTTTATTACCTGTTTATCTAAGCAGCACATAGTCCTCAAAACAGCACACTTTTAGGTGCTGCATGTTAACATTGGCATACCATTTGCAAAATATAAACTACAAGAGATGTCTGAAGTGGACCAGTTTGCTGCAAAGACCATTGCAGATGCAGTTTCTGCACTGCTGGGGGAACACTGGACACCATGGCAGAAATTCAAAGAGAAGGTAGGCACTGAAGAATATATAGCTGGCCAGAGGCTTACTAACAGAGCAAGAAAATAGAACACTACTTATTCTTTGTCAAAATTTAAAAATCACCAGTGGTTACACAGCTGGGAATATGGCATTCATAGCTTGCCATGCAGAACAAAGTCTTGGAAAAGGACATTGATGTTGCTGACAGCCTATAGATGCATGAATAAACTGGCTGATAGGGTGGATTCTCTCAAAGGATGAGCTGTGAGGACAGGTAGTTTGTGGAAATTAAGTTACTCTAGCAACAGAGACACATGCAGTGAAGAAGCACAGACCATGGAGTACCTAATTCTATATGCCTTTTTGGCAGATGTGTGTTTTACTGAAAATTATTCAGAACCATATGTTGGGCCCTGCCATCTGCTGAATTTGGATACGATGTCTATAAAGCTGGTGTGGAAATACACAAAAAGAAACTCTTAACTTGGGGAGAGAAACTGCCACTGCCTTTGTAACTACAACTGCCTCCCACAGAAAATTACCTTTTTTATTTTGTGAAAAATATAGCCTTTCTATAGAAAAGTATATTACGGTTATATTCCAGCATGGAGATTTTATCTCAGGTCCCTATTAAAATGCCTCAATACTTGATTGGAGAAGGGCCTGAGCAATGTGGTCTAATAAGACTTGCTCTGAGTGGGGAATTGGACCAGGGACCTTCAGAGGTCCTTTTCAACCTGAATTGTAGGATCCAAATTATTACATCCATGCAGATGCATGCAGATGCATGACCACAGAAGTATCTTTCTTAGTCATATATAGTAAGGAAAGAGATAGATCTGCCAGTCAGGAAGTTGAACAGTGGCACACAGGAAGAAGAGACAGTAGAGTTTTAATAGAAAGGCTTTTTATCTGGTAGAAAGTTTGCTTGTAAATTTCTTTAGAAAAAAAGTAATTTACACTGCATCCAGCCAAATTGCTGTTGAAATAGCCAGTCTGGCGATTCACAGCTCCTCACAGCTGAGAGGAAGGCTTTTTCCTTGTCTCTTCAAATGCAGTGCCTTCTCACTAAGACATTGACACCTACTGTAGTTAGAAAATCCTCTTGGGCCTCTATTCTAAGAGAGACCTATCAATTTATGCTTTGTGTTCTGCCAGAATCATGCTTATGTTGGACATGCCTTGGAAACAAAGGTAGTTTTTGTTTAATTGAGTAACTTCCCCTGAATTTTCTTGAACAATAATGCCTTGAGTCCTGCTGTCTGGCCCATCAAGAAAGAATCCTCTTGTGCAAGCAGTAGTTGCTGCATTGAAAAAGAGTCTCTGAACTATTGGGAATGAAACAACACCCAAGAAAACCCATATTGTTTGTTTCAAAAATAGTGAGTAAGTTTGGTTTAATGTGAGTAAAAACAAAGTCTTAAGGCCGCGTTTCAAGGAGTTAATGCTAGGTGTTGAAGTTACATAGCCTGAGATATGGCAACTCAGCTCTGCTCCCCTGGTAGAAAAGAGAGGGAAAAGCTTGTGTGAAACTGCATTTTTAGCCGAAACTGTGGAACAAAATCCAACAGGAATTAAGAATTCACAGTAACATCCCATTTTCTGTAGCAACAGTGAAGTACATTTCTCTGACTTGTCATTCTAATAAAACATGTGGCACAGAAAACAGAAACAAAAATCAATCTACCTGTGAAAGTTCAGAGGCAGCAGCAGAAGGAACACTTTCCTGAGATGCCACATTGGCATGCTGGGCTCTGAGCAAGTACCTGAGTAACTCAGAAATAGCCCCCAGCAGGCTCAGTAAAAGAAGCACCTCTGTTGTAAAGGTGAATTGGGCACTTAAGGAAATTATTCCAAAAGGACCTGAAGAATTTATTAACCTGCTCCCTGCAAAAAGGAGTTTGCTCTCAACAGGTTTATCTGAAACTCTCTCACTGGCAGGTTCAGGTTGTAGGCCCTCTGCATATTGTTTGGTCTCCCAGTCAACTTCTCTCATCTCTTATGCTCTGAAAATTGTCTTGTAGTCTAGAAGAGACGCTTCAAATTCATGTTCTTAATTTTCAACTATGAAACTCAGTGAAATTATTGACCTCTCCTGGACTTCTGGGACAACAAATAAAGTACTACTGGGCAAACAAGAAAAATAACTTCGTGACAAATGGATAAATCATTTCCCACATCAAAACATTTATTAACTGCATATAGTTAGCTGGTTTCTTTTCTAAGGTTTCTTTCTTTCTTTTCCTTCCTCCTTTTTCCTTTCCCTGTTCCATTTATTGTACCTTGCTGTGAGATTTTCTTTGCAAGAATGCATGACTGGACCCTCATGAAAAGAACAGGGCATTGTCCAGGATTTGTATAGTATAAAGGTAGAAAAAGATTGAAAAGAAAGCACACCACACTGAAAGAGTCACAGCTGAAGATGCATAAACAAACAAGTTGTATTTTCTCACACGCACAGGCACTTAGTGGAATACATATACAACGACACTCGAAATCCTGCCATCTTAACCATGTTATAGTAAAGCCTGAGAATAGGTTTGCCCACCTGCCACTGTGTGACTGCTCTGGGATCTTTGGGATTCTCAGCAGCTGGGAATAAATTGTGGCTCTGCCTGTACAATTTTTACTGTGTCTTCTGACAGGAGAGGTGCTTTGCCTTTGGAATGACATGGAATCCACAAGCAGTTTTTACTCACATCTAATTTCCAAAGGTGTTATAAAAGTATCCCAACTGATTACTAAGAGAGCAAAGCACTGCTCTGTGTTGTGAAGCCATTTCTCGGCTAACTTGCATTATGCATTTGTGTTGTGTAATTGATATCTATTGCACACTGATAGCTGGAGGTCTGCAACTTTCTTTGGTTCATCTCTCAGGAGTTTTATGTCTTTCACATCTACAACCAGACTTGTTAAGAGCTTAAGGCATAAATCACCTGGGAGAGACTGGGGGAAAGAAAATCCAAAGTAAAGCTCTTCCTTCACCAAAACCAAACAACCCCAACTGACCAAAACTCAACAGAAATAATGTGCTTGGTTCATTCCAAAGCTAGGAATGTGGTTTCAAAATTAGTTCAACCAAACTCCACATGTAAGTGAATTTGATTGAAAGCCCACTAAAGTTAGGGTGGGCTTTTCATTAGACATAAACATTTTGGTGCCAGTTTTGATTCTGTATGAGATCTGCCATCTGCATGGTTTTATATTTAACTGTGCCCACAGCTGTGGTACAAAGTACCTTTCCCAAATGGCTAACAACCAGAGCACATTAAGTTAATGGGTCAGTATCAGAGTGGCCCCTTGATGTGTTGTGCTATTGTTGCCTGTTTTTATGAACAGCTACCTTTGTTTCCTGTTGGTATTTTGTTTGCTGCCAGGAGTAGTGAATGAACCACTTAGTGCAAGCTGTGAATTACAGCTCCAAAATGAAACAAGGATCCCGCACAATAGCGGCACCTGATCTAATCTTTCCTTTGCCTCTGTGCTGATAGAAAGTCAAGGTAAATTCATATTGAACATCTAAGTCCAATCAGCAACTGATAAGGCCTCTTTTAATCACCTGGATCCACTACAACTAGTGACAATACCAACCAACACAATAGTGATCCTATGTTTTTTATAAAGTCTGTAACATATCAATGAAAACGTGCATTTGTGAACTGGCTGTGTAACATCAATGGCTGTTACTCTGTTTTCCTATTCCTACCTTCAGATGTGACCTTTAACGAAGATGTGGAGGCACTGTTTTTAAGAGCCTCTGTTCCAAGAAAAAGGAGTGGGAAGCATGGAGGTGCAGATACGATCTGTAGGGTGAGACAGTAACAAATAGAGGCTTCGTAAAATTTGTGGGAAGGTGCACATAAACCTCTGCTGCTTTTGAAAGGTCTGCTCAAAACCACAGCTTTGAAACAGAGGTCAGAGATCGGACCTTAGTAAGGATGGGAAAACAGGGGCTTTTCCCTCACTAGCTTAAACTTGAGACATTCACTTTGTCCAACATTGCTGCTGCCCTAAGGTGAGGACTTCTGTAACCAATGTAAAGGAGAGTAGGCAGTGTTGCTGTTTATATTGGTGTGAGAGCTTCTCCCTAAGAATGATTGAGGAGAGTAGACAATCCACACCCTCAGCTGGAATCCTCCCCTTCCCTCCCACATGGTGCATGGTGATCAGTTCCAAGTATACATTAAATAGGGTCTGCACGTACATAAGTTTATTTTTTAAGAAACTTTTTTTTTTTAAAGAGAGTTATTCTTTGTCCACCTGGAGGCACAGGATGCCCAGTGCGAGCAGCTCATCATCTGAGTTTGCACAGTCTCTCCACCCAGCCGAACTTCTCTGGGCTTTGTGTCTGGTAAGGCATGAACAGATCACAGCAGTTTCGGGTTGTCGTTTAGCCGAAGGCTGGAATACATTCCCACGTGCCGGACCAGGTTGGGTTCCACCACGTAGGCCTTCTCCCCCTTAGTACGCAGCAGCGAGTAGAGGGCAATATCCTTAGCAAAACCCTGGCGGCAGTGCAGCCCCTTCAGGTAACCTAAGGCACGGTGGGCAGATGGAGCGGAGAAGAGCATGGCAGGTGTGCAGCACTCGGTGACCGGCACGATATTATACAGCGCGGGGGCCAGCCGCCGCAGCTCCAGCATGTAATGCCGTCCCACCAGCTCTGACAAAGCCATACTGTACAAAGCAAAGAACAAGACAATGGGCCAGCTGAGGCTGGGGCGCCCAGTTGCCCAGCAGTACACACAGTTCAGCATGGGCCCCAGAAACATGCCCAGACCTAGCCATTCGAGGATTCTCATGGGTTCGGGGTTGAAGTAGCGCTGAAGCCTCTCGGGATGGTAAAGCTTGAAGTAGAGTGCGTCTCTGAGGTATGGTTTGGAGAAGCGGGCCAACAAGAGGTGCTGCAAGACAGGAAATATCTCCTCCTCTGGCACAGCATCATCTTCCACTATGAGGATATATTCTGGGTTGTACGCCAACAGCGACTGCTCAAGGCAGAAGACGTAGTCCTGCTTCTCCTTCTCAAACTGGTTCACTCTGGGGTCAGGGTTCTCACCAGTTTTGTCACGACTGACCATAGGAAAGAAGCTGCTCAGCAGCCTGACATCCTGATGGCTACTGGGGTCTGACTCCACATTGCAGAGGAGGATGCGGTGGCTCCAGCAACGTGCACCACAATTCTGGAGGAGGCGGTGGAAGTGGGAGGCCACTTGCAAGACATAGTGGAAATCATTCCGCCTCTGCACAGTGATAATGGTGACCAGCAGCAAGGGCTGGAAGGCATCACCACCAGAGGCCTCAGAGGCATTTGGTATCTGTAGCTTCTCAAAGTAATGGAGGGCAGCCTGGCCCTCCTGCTGGTTCTGCTCCAGGAACTCCTGGCTCATGGGGTTCAGGTGCCAGCGCCGCAAATAGAAGTAAGAGTGGAGGAGCCGGTGACAAATCAAAGGTGCAAGCACACCGAATGTCACCACAGTCAGTGTGAGGAGATGGATAAAAGGACTGGACCAACGGCACCACCTCCCATAGAGCTGCCAGGCTTGGTATAACATGGCTGCTGCAGAAGGAGGCCACCCCTGCTCTATTCATGCCCTCATTCATTCACTTCTGATGCATCCTCCCTGGATTGCGAGGTATCACTGGGGTAGTGGCTGCCAAACCTGCACAATTTGTCCAAGCCTGGAGAGGAAGAAAGGAGATGGTTAATGAAATAGGAACTGTCAGAGTGGGAAGACTGTGATTTGACAAAATGGAAAGCTGAGGGCTAGTCACTGAGTAAGCCAAAATAAAAGGCCCCTGAGGAGTCCTTTGTGGTGGGGGCATCACAAAATTGTCATGGGAGGTTGAGGAAAGATGAGCTAAACTTAGTTTCCAGGAAAGTGCCCCTAAATCCTTTTCAGTACATAGGAGCTCTGATCTGACTTAGCTAGATAAGACTTTGTTGTGTTTGTTACTGTGCTTCAAATGCATAACAAACCAGCAACATGGATGCAGGATGTGTGGAAATCCCTTTCTGGTAAAGGCAGAGAACTTTTAGACACCACTATCTGGTCACAGTAACATAGTAAAACTTGGGTCACAGCCAAGAACCAAAGCCGGATCTCTTGTATCTTGGCCTAGCACATATGTGAGAGACAAACTTTTACCTCTGTGGAATGACACATGCTTCCCTTCTGTTGCTCACACAATTCCAAATGCATGCTTTTTCACTTTACTCCCCAGAGTGCGAAGCAAGGTAACAAAGATACCAATTTACTTCACCAAGGGCACATGTACACCAAGTGTAATATGTGTGTGTGTCTCAGATGTCTCCTCCTCTCTAGACCCTGTGAAATACACAGCCACAGCAAGATTAACAGGTTGCAATTGAGCCATTGACTCATACTTGTTATTTAAAAGTTTGTAATTTAAAATATATGCCTTTAATTTAAAACTAAAACGTTTATATAAAAATAGTATTTTTTTGTACACACACACTTCAAGCAAACATCCACTTTCACAAAAATTAGATTTTGCTGTATTTGGCTTTTCTGTTCTGCTTCTCTGGGCTGCCATGAACACCTAACAGCCTGGCTGTCAGAAGCTTACACAAAATCATGGCAATTAGGCTGTTCGGATGAATTCTCTGTGCCAGTAATTTCCCTTTTTAATCTGCTTTAATCCCTTTTTTAATCTCCCTTTTACTTTCCATTCCCTCTCCTTATGAACCAAGCTATTCACACGCACCGCCCCCCCCCAGCTGACTGACTGTGCACCATTCAGTGGAGAGTTTCTCCCATTTTTAACCTTCTGCCTTCACCAAGTTCAATCATCAAATGGTGCTCCCAGACCAAAATGTTACCCTTTTTCCTTCTCTGCACTGTCGTCTGAAGCAGCCTAAGCAATGGTGTGTGGATAGAAATAAATCAGGGCTGTGGCTTTTCTTCTCTGTCTCAGAAGAATGGACCACGTAGAAGAAATGACTCAGAGGACGCTGAGCAGGGTCTAATTCTGGGACTACCTCAAAAGTGCCTTTGTTACCATAGTGACAGATTTGCTGTATTTACCATTAAGAAAACTGCTTCCTATTGCCGTCTGGGAATCTGACAATCTTATATAAAAGGCCTTTTACTAAGATTAATGGAAAATATACAAGAGTTATTCCAAATGTTTGTTAGAGGCCAGGCACTTCATGCTGTGAGATCTCAAGCCATCTTTGCATAGACTGTGGCATCACTGTTGTGCTATCTTACGATTCACGAAAACACAAGACTTCAAAGATTCAGTGTCATTAAATAGAGATAACAAATTTACACACTGAGGCATGAGAAGCTGCAGTGTCTTCCCATATAGCTCTCTTTTTTTTTTTCTTTCTGATTACACAACCCTGTTTCAGAGACACTGCATTGTATTGCATCAGTGGACCTTGTGAAAGCCTTAAAGGTGATGGCTGCATTTCAGCCGCCAGATCCAAGCCACGATGATTCAGGACACGAAGACCTGAAATCCATCAGATGCAAAGGCCTGGCATTTAAATGCATTTATTAATCCAAAATCCAGGGCGTTCCTTTTTCTCACTTTCTGTTCACCAGTCACAAACATTAAGGGAAGGCACAAATGCAGAATCATACTCTACAGCTCACACTGGCATACTTTTGAGCCTCCTCTCGATGCGAGCAGCATCGTCGGCACTGTCGCTGAGCCAGCCGCCAAACTTGCGAGGGCCACAGTGGGAAAAGGAGGTGCAGGAAAGCTAGAAGGTAGTTTAGTTCTGGGAGGGTAAAGAAACCTCCTCTCCATCCGCCAGCGATGCTGGATACCTGAGCTACTAAACCCATGAGCCTGCAGCGAGCGCCGTGGCTCTCAGGACACGCGCTGCCGCACCAACAATCCCCACGCAAGCGGGGGTCCTCCTCCCCCGTGTGTCCCCCGTGAGAAGGGAGAAAGGGCTCTCC